AGTCTCCTGACTTCCTAGATTAACTTTGCCTAAAATACCTGTTTAAGACTTTAGTCTAACTCTATTGGAATCAGCACAATGAATCCCCCTGTAAAAAATATATGGTAATAAAAATGAAAGTAAAATTAAAAAAAAATACTTTTGTCATTTTTTTTCTCTAAGGTTGACTATATTTTAATTTTTTTAATTTTTAAATACTTTTTTGGTTTTGAAAGTTTTAAAATATGCATTTTTAAAAATTATTTTTGGTGGTACTGGGATTTTGAACTGAGGGCCTTGCACTTGCTAGGTAGGCATCCTACCACTTGAGCCACTCCACCATCCCCAGTGGAGGTGTCTTCTATGGATCCAACAAAGATGAAGAAAATTGCAGACACCTCTCCTGGGGAGTCTGTTACCAATGCTGTGATCACAGTGCCAGATTACTTTGCACTCGGCATCAGACAACCACAGACGCTGAAACTATTGCTGGTCTCATGATACGTAGAATTATCCATGAGCCAACCAAGCTGCCATCACTTACCGCTTAGAGAGGAAGGTTGGAGCCGAGAGAACTGTGCTCATTTCTTAATTCAGGAGGTGGCACTTTTGATGTGTCAGTCCTCACAATTTAGAATGGGATCTTTGAGGCCAAATCTACAGTTGGAGACACCCACTTAGGAGGAGAAGACTCTGACAACTGAATGGCCAATCATTTTACTGCTGAGTTCAAACACAAGGATGAAGATCATCAATGAGGAGAGGATCTGATGTCTCCATATTGCTTGTGAACAAGCTAAGCCTACACTCTCCTCCAGCTCTCCGACCAGTATTGAAACTGATTCTGGTTATGAAGGAATCAACTTTATAACTCCATCACTTGTGCTTAACTTGAAAAATTGAGTGCTGACCCGTTCTGTGTCATTCTGGACCCTGTAGGAAAAAGTCCTTCGAGATGTCAAACCAGACAAGTCACAGATGCACAATATTGTCCTGGTGGGTGGTTCCACCCATATCCCCAAGATTTGGAAACTGCAGCAAGACTTCTCCCATGAAAAAGAGATGAATAAGAGTATTAACTCCGATGAAGCTGGTGTTATGGTGCAGGTGTCCAGGCAGCCATTCTACCTAGAGACAAGTCTGAAAATGTTCAAGATTTGCTGATCTTGGATGTCACTCCTCTTCCCCACGTACTGAAACTGCTGGAGGCATAACTACCTCATCAAATGCAACACTGTCACCCCCACCAAGTAGACGACTACCTTCACTTCCTACTTGGAAAACCAGCTGGGTCTGAGGCTGTACCACCCTCACTGTAATTTTAGTTTTAATTTTCCTAATGACTAGTCATTTTGAGCACATTTGTTTTCTTTTTCATTAAACTAATAGAAATTCTTTCACAGTTTTGGAGGTTGAAGTTCACCATCAAGGTCTGAGCCACGCTCCCTTTGAAGGTTCCAGGGGAGAATTGTTGCCTGCTTCATTCAGCTTTGGGTGGCTGCAGTCTTCCCTGTTTTGGCAGCACAAATCCAATGTCTGCCTAGGTCTTCAGTGGTTTCTTCCCTGTATCCCTCTGTTAAATCCCTTTCTTCCTTTTTCTGATAAAAACACTGTGATAGGATTTAGGGCTCACCCTAAGAACAGGATGATTTTAATTACTTGCCAATATTGTTTTTCTGAATGAGTTCACATTCACAAGTCTGGGGCTTAGGATTTGGACATGTATTTTGAAGGGCCACCATTCAGAGCACCATACAATGGTACACTTGGTGGTGGGAAGGAATTAGAGGTTGAAAGTGTGGTCTTCCTCAAGTGTGCACTTCTGTAAGTGACTGCACACTACCACATTCAAGAGCACACAAGCTGAGTAGCCCTTCTCCAATATGCTTGGGACTATAAGTGCTTCAGATTTGGAAGTTTCTTGAATTTGGGAATATTTGCAGACACTTTACTTTATTGAGTATCCTGACACAAAAAATCTGAAATGCTCCAAGATCTAAAACTATTTTTTGGTCCTGGGGATGGAGTCCAGGGCCTTGAGCAAGCTAAGCATACAAGCTACCACTGCACTGCACCCTCAGTCCTACAAAGTCTGAAACTTAGAGTAGCTTACAGAAACAACAGTAAGGTGGCCCACTCTGTGAGTCCATCTTACAGGTACCTGGATCCCACAACAGAGTGGAAAGAGAATGTTCTCTGGATTAGTCACACCTGGATGGGAACTGACTCTGCCAGTTACTGGTTGTATGACCTTGGCAATTTTCCTTAGGCCAGTCTAGTCTCTTCATTTGTAACAGGCCAGTCATGATACTGACCTTGGAGTGTCCCTGGAAAATCAGAGTTATTGTCAAGCCTGTAACACAATGCCCAGGTGTCTCCTGAACACACAGAGCCAGGATGCCTGTATTCTTTGCTGGTGCTGTTTCAGCATTCAAGTCTTGGAGCTCCCCAGCTATGGGAGAGGCTGGCTTGGTCCCTTATGTCCTACCTTTGCCAGTCAATCTACTAAAGTTTCCAATTAACTAAGTCTCTTACTGACTCTGGGTAAGAATGTAGTGACCTTTCTAGACTGTTCCTTGGAGCCCCTGCTGTTCATAAGTCTCAGTTACTCCATTCAGCTCCATAAACCATAGAGTAAGTTTGTGAGGAGTAAAAAGGTGAATTCCCTAGTACTCACCCTTAGCACGGGGTCCCTGGTGACAAATTCAAGTTCAGGGCTCGTCCATTAAGCCAAGCAGCCCATCATTTGTCAAAGTGAGAAGATGCTCATACCTGGACCATTCCTGCAGTCCAGGACCATTGAGTTACAGGGCCCATTGCTCCTGACTCCAGACCCTGATATGCATTCCATCACTAGCTGCCCCATTCGGTCCTCAGCCCTCAACTCCTCAATAAGCTGACTCCTCATTTTCAATTCACTGCTGACACATAGCCATCAGAAGCCCAGCTCTGAGTCTCCTCATTGACTAGCTCAGAGACGTTTGAATTTGTCACCAGGGACCCAGTGCTAAGGGTGAGTACTCGGGAATTCACTACAGTCTTACCCAGAGTCAGTAAGAGACTGAGTTTATTGGAAACTTTAGTAGATTGACTGGCAAAGGTAGGACATAAGGGACCAGGCCAGCCTCTCCCATAGCTGGGGAGCTCCAAGACTTGAATGCTGAAACAGCACAAGCAAAGAATGCAGGCATCCTGGCTCTGTGTATTCAGGAGACACCTGGGCATTGTGTTACAGGCTTGACAATAACTCTGATTTTCCAGGGACACGTGGGATTCTAACAAATCACTTAATTTCTCTGAGCTCCCCTGGGAATCTCATTAAAATGCAGACCTCCAGTCATCTGCTGTGGCTGGGTCCCAGTTCCCCAGTGATGCCACCACTGCTCATCAGGAGACCACAATGAACGACAGGGAGCAAGCAACATTTGGGATTCAGATTCTCTGGTTTCCCCAACAGTTCTACACTCAGGATTTCCTGAAAATTATTCATGCAACTTCTTTTTCTTTTTTGCTGAAAGCTATCTTCTTCAGGTCACATAGCTTTAGGGCAAGCCAGATAGAATGGAGGAATTCTGGAGGCTGGGAAGCCCAAGATCAAAGCATGGTTAGATTCAGCAAAAGATAGAGCCTTCTCACTGTGTCCTTTCATGGTGGAAGGGCTTAAGCACATCTTTTGATGTGTTATCTACCGTGTTTCTTGTTAAGTATCCGTAAATATTTTGCTCATTTTAAAATATTGGACGTTTTCTTTTCCTTTTTTTTTTTTTTGCTATTGACTTTTTATAGTTGTTTATATGTTCTGGATTTGGTCATTTATCAGATGTGATTTGTTAATGTTTTTTCCTCAGTGTGGAGCTTAACCATTCAGTCTCTCAACAGTGTTTTTCAAAAAACAAATATCCTTAGTTTTGAGAAAGTCCAGTTTATCATTTTTTTCTTTTTTATCTCATGCTTTGAACGTCAAATCCTTTGGCACTTTGCCTAGCTTAGTGTCACACAGATTTTCTCCTATTTTCTTCTAGAAGACTTCTTTTATCAGTTCTACATTTTGGTTTGTGGTCTATTATAAGTTCATTTGCATATGTGGTACAAGGCACAAATCAAAGTTTTGTGTTGGTTTTTTTTTGTCCTTGGCTATCAATTATGGAAAAGACTGTCATTTCTCCTTTGAATTGTCTATGCACCTCTGTCAAAAATCAGTTTGTTACATGCCGGTGTGGAAGTTGAAGCAGGCTGCCAGTGGCTCATGCCTGTAATCCTAGCTACTCAGGAGGCAGAGATCAGAAGGATCAGTTTGAAGCCAGCCCAGGAAAGTAGTTTGCAAGACCCTATCTCAAAAACCCTACACAAAAAAGGGCTGTGGAGTGGCTCAAGCTGCAGGCTCTGAATTCAAGCCCCAGTACCGCAAAAAAAAAAAAGAACAAAAAAAATCAGTTCAACAAGCTGGGCACCAGTGGTTCATGCCTATAATCCTAGCTACTCAGGAGGATGGTGGTTTGAAGCCACTTGAGCCACTCCACAGCCCTTTTTTGTGTAGGGTTTTTTGAGATAGGGTCTCGCAATCTATTTTCCCGGGCTGGCTTCGGAACTTGATCCTCCTGATCTCTGCCTCCTGAGTAACTAGGATTACAGATGTGAGCCACTGGTATCAGGCCCTACATGAATTTTAGAATCAGCTTGTCAATTTGGGAGGTGAAATGTTTTTGACTGAGATAAAGGAATATAGATTGGAAATGTCTTGAGTTTATAGATCGATCCAAGGGAAAATTAACAACTTAATAATACTGTTTTTGGAAAGGATACTGGGGTTTGAACTCAGGGCCTCATGCTTTCTAGGCAGGCACTCTATCACTTGAGCCACTTTTCCAGCCTCTGATATTATCTTGATTCACAAACTCAGCATATCTTACTCAGTCTTTTTAAAGTTGTCTCAACAATGTTGTCTCTTGAATGTATGGGTTTATAATTGCCAATAAATTTGAATACTTTTTGTCCAGTATCTCTTTTAAAAAATATTTTATTGGCGGTACTGGGGTTCGAACTCAGAACCTCCTGCTTGCTAGGCAGGTGCTCTACCACTTGAGCCACTTCACCAGCCTCTTAAACATGTATAATATCCCCCACATACACACAGCTTTGGAGACTCCAATTGCACAAGTATTAGACTGCTAGAAGTGATCTTGCTTTCTTCAATCTCTGTTGATTTTTTTCCAGACTTCTTTCCCTCTCTGCTGCATCTTGCTGTGTATTTAAATCCAATAATCTGTGGTGTCTCATCTACTGTTCATTCACACATCACATTTTTCATGTCAGTCCTTTTCATCTTTAGAAGTGTGATTTAGGTCTTTTATTGCTGCTGTTGTTGTACTGGGGTTTGATCTCAGGGCCTCACACTTGCTAGGCGGATGTCCTACCTGTTGAACCACTCCACCAGCCTCCAGTCCTTTTTGCTTTTAGTTTGTTTTTCAGATAGCGTCTCCTGATAATTTCCTGTGGTCTTCCTGTCTCCATTTCCAGAGGATCTGGAATTATAGGCATGGACCACCACACCTTGTTTTTGAGATAGGATCTTGCTAACTTTTGTTCAGACTGACTTTGAACTGCAGTCTGTCTCTGCCTCCTGAATAGCTGGGATTATAGGCATGAGCCACCATAGCCAGCTTGATTTAGGTCTTTAAAATATATTCCATGTCTCTATTTCATTCCTCTAGCTTCCTGAACATCTGAGACCTAGATGCTTTTTGTTTTTTTTATAGTGTTGAAGATCAAAGCAAGGCTTCAAACATGCTAAGCAACTGCTCTACCACTGGGTTACACACACACACACACACATACACACACACACACACACACACACACACACACTCACACACATGAGATTGAGTTATAACAACTGTTCTAATGTTTTTGTCCACTAATTTTTTTCATCTGTGTCATTTTTAGATTGGTTTTGATTGATTTTTCTCATTTTTGGGTCATATTTACCTGTTTCTCTTTCATTTCTTTTTCTTTGTTTCAGTACTGGGATTTGAACTCAGGGCCTAAACCTTGGAGTCACTCTACCAGCCCTTTTTTGTGATGGATTTTTTTGAGATAGGGTCTCATGAACTACTTAACCTGAACTGGCTTCAAACCAAGATCTTCCTGATCTCTGCCTCCTGAGTAGCTAGGATTGTAGGATTACAGCTTCTCTTTAATTTCTGATTGGATATTAGACATTGTAAATTTTATATTGTTAGGTAAGGAGTATTTTTGTTTTCCTATAAATATACTGAGTTTGGGGCTGGAAGCATGGCTCAGGTGGTAGCATGTTTGCCTAGCAAGAGCAAGGCTCTGAGTTCAAACTTCAGAAACTTTGTTTCTAGAACATGTTTACTTTGAAAACTCTTGAACCTATGGGGTCTTTTTTCTTAAGTTTTCTTAGGGAAGACCTAATCTAGGGCTAGTTTTAACCACTACTGATATAAAATCTTCAGAGAACTTTACAATACCCTGTAAATTATGAGGCTGTCTGTTCTGGCTGGGGGAAGAGAAACTATTTGCAAGCGATGTAACTGGTAGTTTTCAACCCTTCTTGTCCTTTCCAGTGTTAGCCTCAGGTAGTTTCTTCACCTGTATCTACTGATCCAGTATTCAACTGAAAACTTGAGGGTGACTGCTTGAGTGGGGGGAGCCCTCTCTCTGGTGTTCTTTCCTGCCTGGCAATCTATCCTGCAAGCTCTAAGGGCATCAGCCACCCCAGTCCCCCAATTCCTTTCTCTCAACTCAGAGAGACCTCCTCACTCCCCATGCTGTGGCATAGAAAGTCCCTGCAGACATGTCTGGGGGGATTATCCTCGGTTCCTGACTCTAAGCATTACTGTCCTCCGTTTTTGTTTGTCCAATGTCACAAACATTGTTTCATATATTGTGTCATCCTTTCTTTAAAAGTTGTTTCTTCCTTTTTTTTTTTTTTAAGAGTATAAAGCAAGCACAAAGCTTATTGAAAGGATAGCAAAGCACCCTGACAGGTGGGACTTAGTGGAAGAGCTAAGCACAAAAGTTGTTTCTTTTACTCCATCTCGGTTGGAGCTGAAGCCTTGGATTGCCTACATCTTCTTCTTGGTTCTAGGAGTATTTCATTTATTTCAGTCACAAGTTCTCTGATAAACGTATGCATTAAAATACCTTCCAGGCAGAGATGTGGCTCAAGTGGGAGAGCACCTAACTAGCAAGCACAAAGCCCTGGTTCAAACCCCAGTATTGCAAAATAAAAGCCCTCAAAAACCCTCCTTCCGTTCTGTAACTATTTTTGCACTCTCCTAAAGATGGCTTTTGATGGCTAGATGTTCTCAATCTTAATATTGCCCAATATGTTGCTTTATTTAGTTTTTGAACTCAGGGCCTTGATCTTGCCAGGGAGCCAATGTACCTCTTGAGCCCAATATATCACTTTTTGTTCTAGGAATAGTGTTTTGTGTCTGCTTACCTTTCCCAAAGTTAAGAAGTCAGTTTTCTATGTTTTTGTTTTTAAAATATTCTACTTTTCTCACTTTAATCTTTGAAAATTTAAAAATTTTTTTGCAATGCTAGAGATTAAACTAAGGCTTTGCCATGCAAGGCAAATGCTGTACCACTGAGCTACACGGGTCCTCAGTTTAACTTTTAAATCTACAATCCATCTGACATTGATTATTTTTTTTTCAGTCTGGGACTTGAACTCAGGGCCTTCACCTTGAGCCACTCTACCAGCCCTTTTTTGTGAGGGGTTTTTTCGAGATAGAGTCTCGAACTATTTGCCCGGGCTGGCTTCAAAACGTGATCCACCTGATCTTTGCCTCCTCAGTAGCTAAGATTACAGGCGTGAGCCACCGATGCCCGACTATAGCTGTCATTTAAGAATCCAAACTTAACTTTGATAGAAGTCCACTTGTGGCTGGGCGGGGCATGGGATGAATTCAAATTACTTCCCCCACCCCAGTTTTTTTTAAATAAGGAAATTAGGTTTGGTGAGTCCTGGAGAAGAGATCGTGATTAGGATTCTGTTTATTTTGTGGAGTCAAGTGCAGATGGACTTACAGACTGGTTGTTCAGGAGAGGGCTGGGTTAGAGCTGGAAATGCAGCAGTGTCTGTGTACAATCACCAACTGACAGCTGCACACCCAAAGAAGTACAGGAGGAGCAGAGAGAAGAGGTCCTGGCCCAGGAAAAGAAGTCTGCAAGTTGGGAGCTTGTGGCTCACATATGTAATCCCAGCTACTCAGGAAGGAAGAGATAAGGAGGATCAGGGTTCAAAGCCAGCCCCAGGCAAATAGTTTGTGAGACCCTATCTTGAAAAAAACCCATCACAGAAAAAGAGCTGGTGGTAGAGAGCCCGTCTAGCAAGCATAAATGAGGCCCTGAGTTCAAACCCAGTGCCGCCAAAAAAAAAAAAGGCTGCAAAAAACCCCAAGAGCCAGGAAGTAGGTAGGAAGACTCGAAACTGTGCTGTCTCAAAGACCAGGTGACAGAGTGACTGAGAAACATGAAGACTGGAGAGTTCCGTGAGAATTTAATGAGGTGGAGGTCACGGGCAGCCTGAGCAAGAATCAGAGAGCAATTGGGATGGCGCCAGAGTAAGCAGGGAACAGAGGGATGGGGAAGGAAGGACCTAGAGGTGCAATTAGCAGAAGTCTGCCTGTGAAAGGAGAGGGCAAAGGTCACAGCTCAAAGGAATATAGAAGCTACAGGATAGCCGGGAGCCTCTGGCTCACTCCTGTAATCCTAGCTACTCAGGAGGTCAGGAGGATCAAGGTTTGAAGCCAGCCTGGGCAAACAGTTTGTGAGGCCCTATCTCGAGCTCAAGGTGAAGCCCCGAGTTCAAGCCCCAGTACCTCAAAAAAAGAAAAAAAAAAAACCCAGAAGCAGATACAGTATATAGAATAGTACATTGTTTTGTATTAGAAGAGAAATCCTCTATGTTAAAAAATTTAAAAGGTGACAGATAATTTAACTAAGTTTTTTTTTTTTTGTGGGACTGGGGTTTGAGCTCAGGACTTCATGCTTGCAAAGTTGGCACCACCTGAGGCACAAATCCAGTTCATTTTCTCTGGTTATTTTAGAGATGGGTGTCTTGTGAACTATTTCTCCAGGCTGGCCTCCAACCTCGGTCCTCCCAATCACAGCCTCCCAAGTAACTATCATGAGCTACTGGCATCCAGCTTTTAAATTAGTTTTCAACTAAAACTAAAGTGAACTATGATGTGTTGACTATAATTCCTTTCTTAAATGCAATTATTTTAATTATTCAGTGGTTTATTCAGAAGACTGGTGCTAGTATTAGGGAAGAATTACTTACAGGGTCTGGCTGTATAGCCCAGGCCAGACTCGAGATCCTTCTGGGATTACAGGCATGCTCCATCACAAATAACTAATCAGCTGATGGTATGGAAATACATAACTAATCAGCAGATGCCTGTTATCAACAATTTCATGTCACATTCAGAACAGTAACTCTCTAAAAGACAACTGACCCCATCAGGAAGAAGCTGAATGTCAGCTTCCTAGTCACCGCTGCTAGAAACCCATTGAGCTGGACAGTGAGGGCAAACTGTACTTTTAAATAAGAGGATATGACCACGTCATATGAGACGTGACTGCTGATGCTCTGGATGAAGAACAGGTGGTCTAGATCAGGGGTGGAAATGACAAAGTTCCCCATGAAGCCTGGGTCTTGACGCATGGCTGTGTCTGCCTGCTACTGGGTAAGGGCCTCCCTGGTCCAGACCAAGGAAAACTGGAGAAAGAGCGCTCCTCCGCTGGGGTTGCCAAGCCTGCCCTGGGATGTCACGCTGAGCTTGGTTTCTGTAGGGCGTTCCTCTACCTGTTCCTGTTCCTGTGCTCCTGTGCCTCGTTGCCGGGGCTCAAAAGAGCCAGCAGAATCTGCAGACTTGTTCACCTCTCCAGAGAAGAGATGACGATGGCAAAGAAGGTGAGAAACCTGGGGGTCACCCCAGCGTGTCCGGCCACCCAGACACCAGCAGCATTGTTGTCCTAAAGACACAGCCTAGCAAGAGAAAATCAGGGAGACCCTGAATTCAGTCCCCAGTACCTCCAAAACAACAAACAATTGTGAA